GTATCCATGGGTTTCACATTTGTAGATTCAGAAAATATTCAAAGAAAGGGCTGGGTATGATGGCACACACCTCTAATCCCAGAACTCAGGAGGCTGAGACAGGAGGATTTTTCCTTGGCATTATTCCCTAAACAATCCAGTGTAACAACTGTTTACAGCTTTTTCATGTATTAAGTATTATAAGTAATCTAGAGATGATTTATCATATAAGACCGGGTGTGCATAAGTTACAATACCATGCCATTTTATAGAAGAGTCTTGAGTGTCCTTGTATTTTGATGTTCAAGGAAGTCCTAGAACTAATCCTCCACAGATACTAAGGGACAAGTGGAGAGAGAGAGAGAGAGAGAGAGAGAGACAGAGACAGAGACAGAGACAGAGACGGACAGAGAGAGAGACAGAGAGAGTTAGTTACTAGGAATTGAACCCAGAGCCTTCACAGTGAGCTCTATCCCCAGCGAGTTTTGTTTTGTTTTAACTTTGAGACAAGCTCTTGCTAAGTCACTAAATTGCCCAGGTGGGCCCCAAACTTGTGATCCTCCTGCCTCACCCTCCTACAGTTCTGGGGTTACAGGTGTGCACCACCATGCCTGGCTGACAACTATATTGTCTAAGGCCCAACAGAGAAGCTCTTTCTAGAAAATACTGGAAGCCATTACAATGTATTCATAGCTGAAAACTTGGCTACTCAAAGCATTTAGCTTTCTCAGTAATGCTGGCTCTGCCATAAAGTTTCAGAAAAAGGACAAGCCAGAAACTTCCATACAGCTAGGTTGTTCATAATTTTATTTTACAAAGCATGTGACTCTTAAGTGTATTCAAAGTCAAACAATATACTTGAAGTTATAAGAGCTTCTATTGCTAAGATCCATAATATACATAAAATAGTCAATTACACTTCACTTTTTACACTTGCTTTTTGACTATATGTTTTCAGCTTTTTGCTGATGGATAATTTTGCTTTTTCCTTCACAGTCCAACATGCATTTGGTCAACATAGTCCAATGAGCATTCATCTTAGACTAATGCTGCAGCCAGACTTTTCATGTTCTCTTAAAAACCAGAATCTGAGTTTAGCTGGCAATATTTCTCAGCCGCATTGTAGCTGAGGGTGACCATGTAACTAAACTCTGGCCAAGAGAACAGTAAGCGGAAGTAACATATACAGCTTCTGCTTTGTGTTCCTTAAATGGAAAACTGTGTCCTTTTAATCTACTCCTTGCTTTCCCACTTTGCTGCTTAGAACTTGGACTTGGTGACAAGCTAACTAGGAGCAAGCAGACGAGGCTAAAATTTTAGGGATGGTTGAACTGCAGGATTTAAGAAGCCAACACACTAGCATTATGTGAGAAATCAGACTATTGAGTAGAAAACAAAATTTCATCTTGTTTATATTGCAGTTAACACGCAGCTGAATCTTCGTCCTAATTAAAACATCCTACAATTTCTACTTCAATTGTGTTACATTTAGAATGTGCTTTTGTTATTAATTGCTATTTCATTTTCGCTAATTGTTGCCGAGTATTTAAGACAAGTAGCAAAAAAATTATACAGATTTCTGTACAAAGAGGAATAGTAACTCTGCAAAAGCTGATGGCATTAATATACAATACTTCAAAATTGTTATTGTATTAATTCATTATACAAGTCTAAATCTAAGTCAGGTGTGGTGTCACATACATGTGATCCTAGCACTTGGAAGGCAGAAGCAGGAGGATTACTGGGAGTTCAGAGACCAGCCTGGGCTACATAACGAATTCAAAGCCAGATTCAACTACAAGCGAGATCCTGTCTCAAAAACAAAGCAAAACAAAAAGCCTATACTCAAGATTATGCAAAATGTTGCCTACTCGTGAAGACTAACACATAGTCTTTTAGAGAAACATTCCTGAACACTGAATTTGTTTCTTGGCTTTGGGAGCAGCTAGGACAAAAACTACAAGAAAACATTCTAGTTATCCATAGCAAACTAGTGATTTCCTGTTGCCAAATCCTAGTAGATGTAATCCACTTACTCTAAATCTATATTTAACAATCTTTGGAGTTTCAGTTCTAATGATGGCTAAAAATAGTTTGTTCGGTAGAGAGAATAGACATGTTCAAAAAGCTGATACAAACTAAGAATGATGTGAGTATAACCTTTTTCAGAAAGTGGCCTGCTTGCAGGTGCAAAGTTCCATTCATAAACAACTCAGCTAGGGAACTGGGAAGGAAAGTTCTGAGTCATTTCTCTTAAGAGTTATAAAGGTAAAGAAGTGGTTAGGAAAAGAAAACTAATTTTGAAGTAACAAGCATTAGTGCCTGAAAGGGTGATTTCCAGTATGACCATAATTTCTATTTCTGCTATGGGTACCAGAAATAAAATTATGAGAAGGAACAGAGAAATGGGTATTTCTGGTTTTTATAATTCTCTTTGTGCTATCAAAGCAGGGTACAAGCAGTCGGGTGCTGAAAGAGAAAGAAAGGCCATGTCTTCAGAGAACTCTCAGGAAACACCTGGGAGAAGCTCTGAGGACTTCAGTTTCACAATTTACCAAATAAGTCCTAACGGTCATCTCATTTCAAAATGATGAGCAGTGTAACAAACTAACTTCTCTCAACTGCTCCATTTTTACTAACTGGATAGTGGCCGCCATATTACCTCATGGAGGAACATGGGCTTCCTGTGAGTCTCCCCTCACATTATCCCACTGTCTTCCTGTCACCCCTTCTTTCCTTTCGTTCCTTCCACCCGAGTTTAAGCACTTGGTACCTCACATTGTACAACCACTGAAACAGCCTCCTTCCCGGCTCACTTTCCAGTCACTACATACATTATTAATCCATTAGTTCAACACTCTCTACACTCTTTTTTTTTTTTTTGGTACCGGGGATCGAACTCGGGTCCTTGCACTTGCACACCAGGCGGCGAAACCACTGAGCTAAATCCCTGGCCCAACACTGTCTTCACTCGCAGGCCCTGAGATAAGTGCTAGAAGTGCCATGGTAGGCAAGGTGGACACGTTGCCTGCCCTCGCAGTTTGTGTTCTAGCAAGGCGTGCTGGGGAGGCAATTTTGTGACATAATCCCAAATCTTACCCTGTTACGACCTGAATTATGACCACCATAATGTGTATGTCCCCATTGCGACTGTATTTGGAGATTGAGCCTTGAAGGCGGTCATTAAATTTAAATAAAGTCATAAGAGTAGGGCTCTAATTTGACAGGACTAGTGCTGTCCGAAAATGGAGAAGCCAGGCATGCTATCCCACACCTGTTATCCCAATACTGGAAGCTGAGGAGGAAGATCCCAAGTTCCACCCCAGCCTGGGCAACTTAGTGAGACCCTGTTTCAAAATAAAAAGGGCTTAGAATGGAGAATGGAGTAGTACAGTGCCAGAAAGACAGAGGAGGAAGAGGATGAGGAGACACCAGAAGAGGAGATTTCTCTCTTCAAGGACACAAAGGAAAGGCTGTGTGAGGTCACAGAAAGAAAGCAGCCACTCACAAGGCAAAGAGCAAGGCCCCAGGAGAAACTAACTGTGGCAGCACCTTGATCTGGGACCTCCAACCTCTAGGACTGTGGTAAAAATAACTTGTTTAAGCCACCCAGTCTGTAGTGGTCCGTTAGGGAGCCCGAGCTGATCATCATGCTTCAGTACTCTTGTTCCCTCAAGAGTAGTACTCTCTAATTCCAATTTCTTAGAGCATAATGACAGTTTGCCCATCTTAGGTCTTCCTGCCTATGACTAAATTCTGAGTATTTGGAAGAGCAGCCTAAAACCACAGCACAAATACAAGGTTTTCTTACTCTATTTGAGACAAAGTACACCCAGAAAACTAAATAACCTTTTAGGAACAAGAATCATAAAGTACTGAAACTGCCTGCTTGGTAAGTTTGCATCTGTTCAGAACATTCACATACATAGGTTTCATTGCTACTCACAGAAGAGTAAGAATTATCTTGGCCCAAAGTAGGTACAATTAGAAACATAGTACAGCTTTTTAATCTTTATTTTTCCTAGAAAACAATAATTTGACATATTTATCTGAAAAAGACATGTTACCTAACAACATCTTTTTTTGGTAATAGTGATAGGTTGATACTGTAGCAATCAAAGACCTCACCTATATTCACTAAGGGTCATACCACAGGCCGTATGAATTCATCCAAATAGCAACACACTTGGAAATTCACTTTGTGCCACAGCCTAAGCCAGAAAAAAAAGAAAGAAAAAAGAAGAAGAAAGAGAGGAAGAAGGAGGAAGGGGAGGAGAAGAGGAAGGGAGAACGAAGTAGCAGGTCAGCAGGCTCCAGTAGCTCATCAAATGGATTTAGCTGTAGCAAGGACACTGTGGTGTTATAAACTTGAGTACTGCCAAACCTTGCTCTCTAGGTTATACTCATTCTTCGGTCAGCTTCTGCCTATCCGAGGTTACTAAGTTACATAAACACTTCAGTCTTTCCCAGCAGGACAGCTGCTGCTTGCCAAGAATAGCTACTCACTTTTACAAACTTTAGGTTTGAGGTGTTATTTTTCCCTCTCTTTCAGGAGAGGCTACTTATCACCTCCTCATAGTAATAAAGGTTTCATAGCTTTAGAAAATGTTCTTAAGAGTTGACTGGGAGGGCCGGGAATTTAGCTCAGTGGTTCTGCCGCCTGCCTTGCAAGCCAAGGACCCAAGTTCGATCCCCGGTACCAAAAAAAAAGTTGACTGGAACTTTAGAAGCTAGTGGGTTTATTAACAAAGCACACACACTGGTACATTTTAACACCTAGTGGTGGCATTATTCAGCAAAGTGGGCCTCAGTGAAAGCCAACGCTCAAATAACACAGGAAGTTTTCCTTGGAATGCACTTTAGGTTTAAATTACACAAATGTATACATGGCTCAAAAGTGATGGTCCTCCTGGGGGAAAATTTTTTGTTTCAATAATACACCACTTACTGATTTGTAAAAGATGAATGAAAACTTATTTTATTCTAATTAAAAGGATAATGTATAGTTACATAAAATATTCAAACAACTCAGAAGACTATATAAAGTAAAAACCACTCGATTGCTTCTCGGTCTTTTGGCTAAGAGCAAGTACAAAGTAAAAACCACTCGAAATCCTAGTTCATAGATACATTATAAACTGTTTTAAAGCTTTTGAGGAATACCATTCCAGCTGTGTATCCATGTGTATCCATTTCTAAATACTGTTTATGCATGTGTTATGGTTTGGGTCTTGGTGTACCCCCAAAGCCTCATGCAGTCATAGGGGGCTTTTTCAGAGGTGGCTGAATGTAGAGTATGTGATGCTGGGATTAAACCAGTCCACTGACTGATTTGGCACCGCCCTAATCCCAGTAGCCTAGATAAGATACAAGGGGTAGAAAGATGTTGTTCAGGTCCCTTCTTGTTTGCTACCTTCGGTCCGCCATGAACTGCTGCCCCTCTGCCATGTGTTACCCTGCCTTGGAGCAGCCAACTATGGACTGAAACCTCTACAAACTGTAAGCTAAATAAACCTTTCCTCCCTTAACTTGTGAGTGTTGGGTATTTTGTCTCAGCAATCAGAAAAGTAACTAAGACAGCATGTATATATACACATTTCAGGGGTTGAGGATTTACCTCAGTGCTGCTGCACCTGCCTCGCAAGTGCAAGGTCCTGAGTTTGATCCCTAGTACCAGAAAAAAGAAAATTACTACTTGTTCATTATTTATGTTAATTAAGAATATTATTTTGTAGCTTGATTTTTTCACTTAACAATGTGGCTGTCCATATCATATATGCACGATGACCTCAGGGAGAAAATCTGGCTCCACTCCAACGTCATCCCAAAATCATAAATGAAAGACCCTCATCTCCGGGGGCCGCTGCGACCTAGACCCCACGACCCTCGCTCTCCCCACCCCGCCTCCCACGAGCCCCTCCCTAGCACCCGTCTGAGGCACTAAGTCTCTAGCTCCACACCACTGAGGCCTCCCGAGCCGCAGTCCGGAGTCACCAGTCCCCGTGCTTCGCGTCTCCACCAGGCGGGGGACCACAGCCACAGAGCTGAGGCGCGGAACCTTCGCCCTCAAGACCCAACCCACGTGACCTTGCGCCACGCCCATCGCGCCCACGTGACCCGCGGGCGGCCCGGCGCACGCAGTGGAGCGCAGCTCTGGCCGCCATTGTTCCGCCGAGGGAGGATAGTGGGGCCGGGCGCCGGCGCCGAGACGCCGCTTAGCGGCCGCCGCTGGAGACACTCTCTCCCGTCTCTCCCTTCTGAAGGCGGGGGCTGCGTGAGGCTGACACGGGGGCACCCGGGAGCACCCCCGTCCTCCCCGCGGCGGCAGCGACA